GAGACAATGGAGCACACTGATATAAGAAATCAGAAATATGAGGGAATGGAGCACACTGATATAAGAAATCAGAAATATGAGAGAATGGATCACACTGATATAAGAAATCAGAAATATGAGAGAATGGAGCACACTGATATAAGAAATCAGAAATATGAGAGAATGGATCACACTGATATAAGAAATCAGAAATATTTGGTGCGCGTTTGGGTCACAAACTGTAAACAGTGAAAAAGTCCAAGAATGGTGTTCTTTTGTAACGATTGATCTAAAAGGCGATAGCTTTTTATAAAAAGAACGAGGTTTATTTTATTATAGATGGCGCCCTAGTTTTGTTCATTATTCCATCTTAGAGACACTGGTACCAACTGGTATTATTTATACGTGAGTGGCTGAGAACTGTAAACTCTGCCCCAAATAGATTTATTTGTATTAATTAAGATATGTCTTTTTTCAGCAAGTAACACTAGTATCAATATTTTGATATTCTGATCCTTTTTTTATCGATAACTTCATCTTCTAAAGACGGAAGATTTAACAGAAGAAAATGAGCAGAACCACAGCAGTTTTAGCTCTAACAAACTAATTAGGTATTTAAAATGTATATGCAAAAACTGTGCATTACGAAATTTTTTATAATATATATATCATAAGAACAGAATTGTTATCTCGACATAAAATACGTGTTTAAAAACAGTAAAATGAGAGTTGGGTTTATTTATATAAAACAATACATAATATGATTCATATTCGTACTTTGTTACTTTAAGAACGACTGTGTTTATGTATCAGTTTCATTGTATCATGTTATTTATTGTACAGATTTAGAAATAACTTCTTGCCCCAATAAAATATAAGATTCGAAACAAAAGGGATGTACGGAATAATGCTACATCTGGAAGAGGTTTTGCATAACTGCATCCTTGCCTTGTTTAGTTTATAGCACGTGTGATAGAAAACACTCTGTCAGTTATTTTCACTGATCTGAGACAGAAAAACAACAGGAACATGGTATTTTATAAAATAAGTTGTTTCATTTGAATATTAAATCACTTCATTAACTTCGATCTCGTCGCTTACGTCATTTATTCTGTGCTCTGTATACTCTGATATTATATTAATTTAGCATTGAGCTTTTGTGCGGTATATACACTGTTATTATATATATTTAATATTCAATTTTAGTATACATTCGTAGGATAGCTGATTACAGTTCATTAGTATTGTTTCTGGGTTTTAACCAATGGTTTATTTTATAAACTTACAAGTAAACGAAACTACTATATCACAACTATGTGCAATTACTGATACAAAAAAGTAAACTTGGGCAACTTCACAGATTATCTAATCAGAACAGAAACGCATGTTCCTTCAGGAGTTTTATTTTCCTGGGAATAACAGCCGAGTTAAAATTGTAGGTTTGTAGTTGATTGTGAAAAAAAAAAGTTGTTATCAACTACGAACCTACAACTTTAACTCAACTGTTATTACCCGTAAAAACAACTAACTTTTTTCACACTCAACCAAGAATTTACTACTTTAACCCGGCTGTTATTCCCCGTAAAAAGAACAACAACAAAAAAAAACACAACATCTTTTTTTCACGATCAACTACGAACCTACATTTTTAACTCAGCTGTTATTCCCCGTAAAAAAACAAAAAAACGATGAACAAAAGGATATTTTTTTTCTACTCGGAGTACTAGCTAAATTAATGGAGTAAGTTCACAGTTGATGGTAAAAACTGCGACTAAAGAGACACATACATGTAGCCAGTTAATCTGTGTAGTCTCAAATATCACAAACTTGAATGTTACTCTGAAAGCTGTTCATTAAACTGTACATTTTGAATAATATAATTGTTTCGGGTAATACTGTATATTTTTAAGAGGCTTTCGAACCCGCGTTTTAGTTTGGCTAATTAGGTATTTATAACACAGTTTAGTTAGTTTATTGAGTTACATTACGGTATTACATTATTTCAAATGTGATTATTCATATATTTAAGGAAATGCTAATTTGTTTTCTCGTATACATACGCTACTGATATATGTTTATAAAAGAAAATACGTGTAGGTAGATTATAACAAATATATGAGCAAAATGCATGAAACTAAGGCAGACTACGGTAATTCAATTAAGCGAATAGCATTTATCTGTTTGTTTAAGCCTTTGAGAATCTAAAAACTATATTTTTTATGGCCCCAGGCCGAACAAAAGCATATATAATTAGTCAAACAAAAATAAGAGAAACTGTAAACAGAGGGTTTGGCCAATCAAGGAATTCATTAGGCCTCTACGTCACAGATCATATTTCGAATTTTACTTTTGGTGGAAAAGAAAATAGATTTCTAACATATACACATATATATATAAACTGTTTACACTTCTCAGATATATATATAATGATAAATTTCTCTACTTTACATTGGGTTATTTTTTTTGTTTGTGTCGACTACGTCTTCAGTCTAATAAATAAAAAGACTGACGGCGATATTTCTTTATCGACGGATGTGGAATAACAAGATATACTACTGACTGAAATACCTTAGCATATTTTAATCTTTGGTAAATTCACTATTTG